GGCTATTGCTCGATCAACTCTGCTTCGTTCATTGCCATTGGTTAATTCTATTTGGTGCGCGAATTCGCTACTTCTGTGTGGGATGGCACACGACAGAGCAAGGAGAATGAGGGAACCGATCACTCAGACCGTTATTGCTGGCGCTTCAGGAAGCGTAGAAAACCATGAGATCCAGCGGAGAGCCCATTTTGAACGCCTTTGTTGTTAGGGTGTTGTACAGACGATTTCATCCGCTTTCAAATATCTGAAGGATTAGTTTCGGGCAGTCTTACCCAACTGCGATTGGAACTCTCCAGCACTGTCCAGCGCTGTGGCGCCAATCATTTCAAGCACTGGCTGACTCCGTGCACCCGCCACTCCACAGGCACCCCCTTTTGTCTTCAATAATAGCCGTATCGTGGTACCGGGCATTAACCACTAGCGAGTCACATAATTATTAAAATCGGATCAGCCGGCCTGAAGCGGGAAGGTGCGATAACTGGAGGAATGGCGGGGTAGCGATCAGGGATGAAAGGGAAGATGCAAAAGCCAGGGATGCTGGTTTAAGTCTTGGAGGTCGGAACAGGGCACTGGGATATTGACTGGAAAGAAGCTGAAACCTTAGTTGGAGGTAGAAATTAGAAACAGAGTGAGGTGGCGGAGAAGGAAATGTGGAGAGGAGGCTGTATGGGTTGTGATGCTAAGCAAGATATTAGGTGCTGCGAGAGGAAGGTTCATAAGATTATGTTGGACCCCAAAACCTCTTCAGAAGAAATCTGGCACTTTGTGTATTACTGGGCTTTTCGCTGCATGCTCCCGAACCGGTAAACGGATGCAGCCTGCCCGCTTGAACCGTCCCGAGTTCAAGTAAGTGCCAACAACTCATCCCTCCGAAGTGTTACCACACGTCGGGAGAATTGGCATAGAAAGCGGCCGTCGCCAACAATTACCGGTTCAGGGTCAGTGGCGATTCCGTGAATCGCGGTTCGGCCCTCGCAAGCACGCTGCCGTGCGGGAACATTTCGCGGTTATTGTTGTTAGTCCGATTTTGCCGCATTTGTGATGGTTTTTGCCGAGTTTCCCAGTTTTGGTTTGGTTTTTTTTTTCAGCGTGAGTTTTCACGGCTTTAGCATTGTTTTATGACGTTTGCATGACTTTCCAGGGTAATTGACAGTGAAGGATTCCAAGTGGCATGTCAAACGAGGGTGAGCGAGGAAAAGGAGACCAAGATGAGGCGCGGAGGATCTGGAAGAACGCGGATGCGGTATGCTTTGACGTCGACTCGACGCTGTGCCGCGATGAGTTGCTGGACGAGCTTGCCAAGCACCTCAGCTGCTACGAGCTGATCGCGAGCTGCACCGAGAACGCCATTAATGGAAGGATTTCGTTCCGACAATCACTGAAACTCCGTCTGGACGTTATGAAGCCAACACGACGCCAGTTAGAGGAATTCATCCGTAGTCGGAAGCCAGCTATGACGCCCGGGAGCGCCGAATTGGTTGCAGAACTGCACCGTCGCGGCACCCACGTTTACCTGGTTTCGGGCTCGTTCCGGATCCTCGTTGCTCCGGTGGCGCGACTTCTCAGCATTCCGGACACGAATGTTTTTGCGAATGAGTTGCTCTTTGACGCGAACGGCCGCTACAGCGGTTTCGACGAGACGCTGCCAACCAGTGATTCGGGGCGCGAGGGGTTCGGCAAGGGTGCTGTTTGTAGGAGGCTGAAGGGCGAGAAGAGCTACCGGAATCTGGTGATGATCGGGGACGGTGCAACGGACCTGGAGGCGGCCTGTCCCTGCGCGGCCGATCTCTTCATCGGATTCGGTGGCGTGCGCTGCCGTGAAGTTGTGATGAAAAATGCCCAGTGGTTTGTGCGCGATTTTGAAACACTCACAGAATGTTTAGTTCATTAAAAAAGAAACTGACTTTTTCAATGCATGTATTGATAATGGGGCGTAAGTTTATCTGAACTAGAAGTAAAACAATGACACAGTCAGCAAGAGGGAGACCGGTAAAGAGGGGAAGGGAGGGAGAGGGCGGGGAGAGAAATTAAAGTGTAGCCAGAGAGGTGCTGAGCAGATGAAGCGCAGGATTCATCCAGAAAGCGCCGAAGTCGACTCAGAGGGGCAAAATCCCATTTTTTAGAAAGTGAATAAGTGGATAAATGTGAAAAAAAATGCAGTATTCAAGCAGGCAACTTCCGGATATTTCATATTTCTGTTTAACGTAAGAAACG